TATGGGAAGGTATTGGAGGAAAGGTAGTATAGCCCGAGAGAAGACAGCGTCTCCAGAATCCTGACGTGGTGTTAGTTTTCAATAATAAAAAATGTCTAACTCTGGTAAAGGTTGATCAGAACATTTACAAAAGGAATCACTTCCATGCTTAGAAATCTATAACATCTATTAGTTTGCAGTAATACATGCTTCATTCATATCTATGAAACGTGTATTATATATATATACATATTATATGTGCAAGTATAGTAAGGGAACTGAGTCCTCTGTGCAAGTATACTAAGGGAACCGAGTCCACTGTGCAAGTATACTAAGGGAACCGAGTCCACTCTGCAAGTATAGTAATGGAACCGAGTCCTCTGTGCAAGTATAGTAAGGGAACTGAGTCCTCTGTGCAAGTATACTAAGGGAACCGAGTCCACTGTGAAAGTATAGTAAGGGAACTGAGTCCTCTGTGCAAGTATACTAAGGGAACCGAGTCCACTGTGAAAGTATAGTAAGGGAACTGAGTCCTCTGTGCAAGTATAGTAAGGGAACCGAGTCCACTGTGCAAGTATAGCAAGGGAACTGAGTCCACTGTGCAAGTATAGTAATGGAACCGAGTCCTCTGTGCAAGAATAGTAAGGAAACCAAATCCTCTGTGCAAGTATAGTAATGGATCCGAGTCCTCTGTGCAAGAATAGTAAGGAAACCAAGTCCTCTGTGCAAGTATAGTAAGGGAACCGAGTCCTCTGTGCAAGTATAGTAAGGGAACCGAGTCCACTGTGCAAGTATAGTAAGGGAACCGAGTCCACTGTGCAAGTATAGTAAGGGAACCGAGTCCTCTGTGCAAGTATAGTAAGGGAACTGAGTCCACTGTGCAAGTATAGTAAGAGAACCGAGTCCTCTGTGCAAGTATAGTAAGGGAACCAAGTGTCCTGTGCAAGTATAGTAAGGGAACCGAGTCCACTCTGCAAGTATAGTAATGGAACCGAGTCCACTGTGCAAGTATAGTAAGAGAACCGAGTCCTCTGTGCAAGTATAGTAAGGGAACCAAGTGTCCTGTGCAAGTATAGTTAGGGAACTGAGTCCTCTGTGCAAGTATAGTAAGGGAACTGAGTGCACTGTGCAAGTATAGGAAGGGAACTGAGTCCCCTGTGCAAGTATAGTAAGGGAACCGAGTCCACTGTGCAAGTATAATAAGAGAACCGAGTCCTCTGTGCAAGTATAGTAAGGGAACCGAGTGTCCTGTGCAAGTATAGTAAGGGAACCGAGTCCACTCTGCAAGTATAGTAATGGAACCGAGTCCACTGTGCAAGTATAATAAGAGAACCGAGTCCTCTGTGCAAGTATAGTAAGGGAACCAAGTGTCCTGTGCAAGTATAGTTAGGGAACTGAGTCCTCTGTGCAAGTATAGTAAGGGAACTGAGTGAACTGTGCAAGTATAGTAAGGGAACTGAGTGAACTGTGCAAGTATAGTAAGGGAACTGAGTCCCCTGTGCAAGTATAGTAAGGGAACCGAGTCCACTGTGCAAGTATAGTAAGGGAACTGAGTCCTCTGTGCAAGTATAGTAATGGAATCGAGTCCTCTGTGCAAGTATAGTAAGGGAACTGAGTCCATTGTGCAAGTATAGTAAGGGAACCGAGTCCACTCTGCAAGTATAGTAATGGAACCGAGTCCTCTGTGCAAGTATAGTAAGGGAACTGAGTCCTCTGTGCAAGTATAGTAAGGGAACCGAGTCCTCTGTGCAAGTATAGTAAGGGAACTGAGTCCCCTGTGCAAGAATAGTAAGGGAACCGAGTCCACTGTGCAAGTATAGTAATGGAACCGAGTCCTCTGTGCATGTATAGTAAGGGAACTGAGTCCTCTGTGCAAGTATATTAAGGGAACTGAGTCCACTGTGCAAGTATAGTAAGGGAACTGAGTCCCCTGTGCAAGTATAGTAAGGGAACCGAGTCCACTGTGCAAGTATAGTAAGAGAACCGAGTCCTCTGTGCAAGTATAGTAAGGGAACCAAGTGTCCTGTGCAAGTATAGTAAGGGAACCGAGTCCACTCTGCAAGTATAGTAATGGAACCGAGTCCACTGTGCAAGTATAGTAAGAGAACCGAGTCCTCTGTGCAAGTATAGTAAGGGAACCAAGTGTCCTGTGCAAGTATAGTTAGGGAACTGAGTCCTCTGTGCAAGTATAGTAAGGGAACTGAGTGCACTGTGCAAGTATAGTAAGGGAACTGTGTCCCCTGTGCAAATATATTAAGGGAACTGAGTCCACTGTGCAAGTATAGTAAGGGAACTGAGTCCCCTGTGCAAGAATAGTAAGGGAACCGAGTCCACTGTGCAAGTATAGTAATGGAACCGAGTCCTCTGTGCAAGTATAGTAAGGGAAGTGAGTCCTCTGTGCAAGTATATTAAGGGAACTGAGTCCACTGTGCAAGTATAGTAAGGGAACCGAGTCCTCTGTGCAAGTATAGTAAGGGAACTGAGTCCTCTGTGCAAGTATATCAAGGGAACTGAGTCCCCTGTGCAAGTATAGTAAAGGAACCAAGTCCTCTGTGCAAGAATAGTAAGAGAACAGAGTCCTCTGTGCAAGTATAGTAAGGGAACTGAGTCCTCTGTGCAAGTATATCAAGGGAACTGAGTCCCCTGTGCAAGTATAGTAAGGGAACCAAGTCCTCTGTGCAAGAATAGTAAGAGAACAGAGTCCTCTGTGCAAGTATAGTAAGGGAACCTAGTCCACTGTGCAAGTATAGTAAGGGAACCGAGTCCTCTGTGCAAGTATAGTATAGTATTTATTTGCATAACAGACACTAATAACCCTGAGATTCTATCCCACACTGTGTCTTCCATGCAGTACCCACTCCCACCATTAGCAGAACAGACGCCAATAACCCTGAGATTCCATCCCACACTGAGTTCCACGCAGTACCCACTCCCACCATTAGCAGAACAGACAATAATAACCCCAAGATTCCATCCCACACTGTGTTCCACGCAGTACCCACTCCCACTGTTAGCAGGACAAACAGCAGTGATCCCGATATTCTGTCCCACTCTTCTTGGACTGTAATTTTTGGTCCTCGTGGCTTGTTCTACAAATCTCATCGTACCTCTCAGCCAAGCCTGGTATGTCGGTGTATCCTGTCGCAGCCAGAGGGCAGGTATCAATGGCTGCACAGTCATTAGTAAATGTCTCGACACTGTTTTCTTATAGCGAGAAAAAGGGAGCTTATATCGGTTTAAAAGCATATCTGTTGGGTGGAAGGACACTTCATCATCTAGAGTTGATAAGGTATCAATTTCCTTTTTCGGATCGGACACTCCATGAAAATATGCAAGAGCGACCCAGCACCTCCAACACAAATCGGATGCAGGACTTGTTTTTGTATATACTATATTACGATTGAAGAATGTGTTACTAAGCTAATGACACTTACGTCATTTATAGCAAAAAATGCGTCATAAAATAAATAATAAAAAGGAAGCAACATTGTTGAAATAACAAGATTCAATTAGCTCTTTGTCAAGCACCAGGCAAGATTGTGTTTTTCACTTGAGGCACTGACACAGGGCATTACACGGGAGGAAGATTCGGAGCGTGCCTCCACTTGGAGTTTGAGTTGAATGGGCCCATTGTTGCTGTTTTATTTGGATCTACCAGCCATTATAGCAGACTGAATTCATATTTTTACACATAAAGGACTGAGTATTACAATTTCCTGTGAGTACTGAGATAACTTATAACCCTCATGTTGTTTCAGGAGCACACAGTTAAAACATGGGGGCATATTTCATTGTATAGGGACACTCAGCACTAACAACACTTAAGCATTTTTGATGCAGAAATACTGTGTCTTTTTTGCTGACATTTAAAACATAAATGTTTCTGAGAAACGACTGTGCTTACATTAGTCCAAAACCACTCCTAAAGGGGCAGTTGGATAGACACGCTAAAGGCTATTCCATCTGAAGACCTTTGAAAGTCTAAGGTTTACACGTTCTGTGTCATGCACAGCATGATGATGCAAACACAGAAATTCACTGCATGAGAAGCCTTTGATTGGTGAAGTGCAGTGTTTGCGGTACATGCACCCCCCTGTGACCGTAATGCTTCTTAGAAACATAGAAACATAGAATGTGAGGGAAGATAAGAACCATTCGGCCCATCTAGTCTGCCCAATTTTCTAAATACTTTTATTAGTCCCTGGCCTTATCTTATAGTTAGTATAGCATTATGCCTATCCCACGCATGCTTAAACTCCTTTACTGTGTTAACCTCTACCACTTCAGCTGGAAGGCTATTCCATGCATCCACTACCCTCTCAGTAAAGTACTTCCTGATATTATTTTTAAACCTTTGTCCCTCTAATTTAAGACTATGTCCTCTTGTTGTGGTAGTTTTTCTTCTTTTAAATATAGTCTCCTCCTTTACTGTGTTGATTCCCTTTATATATTTAAATGTTTCTATCATATCCCCCTGTCTCGCCTTTCCTCCAAGCTATACATGTTAAGATCCTTTAACCTTTCCTGGTAAGTTTTATCCCGCAATCCATGAACCAGTTTAGTAGCCCTTCTCTGAACCCTCTCTAAGGTATCAATATCCTTCTGAAGATACGGTCTCCAGTACTGTGTACAATACTCCAAGTGAGGTCTCACCAGTGTTCTGTATAATGGCATGAGCACTTCCCTCTTTCTGAAGATAAAAATACAAATGGTGAGAGCACTCAAACAAGATAATTACGATACAATTACCCAAACTGGATTACCATCTGAAAGTAAACACAGATAAAAGAAAAACATAGGGTAATAATTGAAGACTCTATTACTGGTCACACTCACATAAAAAGAGCCACTTCAAAAGCTGGCTCAGACTTGCATGCCTTGAATCACAAACTCTCTCTGGGCTTTCACTGGGTCCTTTCTTGTAGTTATGTTCCATGCACCACCAGGAAACGCAGGTTCAAGGGGTAACAGTATACTTTATTGTAAAAGGAATAAAAAACTACATAAAACAAAGGAAGTCCCTTAATAATAAAAAGTCCACAGAGCACCTGACGCGTTTCGGCAATAAGCCTTCATCCGAGGTGATTCTCATGATCCATGGCATGCTGTTTTATATGTTGTTCTCTCGCGCCCTTTTTCGCCGCATTCGCGGCACTTTACTTCCGGGTCCGACGTCGAGACGCATCCTGCGTCATCACGTCCCGACGTCTATCCTCACTTCCGGTTGGGGAACATATTAGGACGTATCAGAAACGTCATTGAAAACGGAGCTTCCTTCAATTATATTGCTCCTAACTTTTAAACGTCCAAAGCAGTAAAATTGCAACATTCTTATTAGAGAGAAAAATATAGATAATACAATCATTAAAAACAGATAAAGATAATATATAAATAATAAAGCAAAACTGGAAATCTGAATAATAGGGAATCAAAATTAAATAAATAATATAAAAGTATAAGAATATAAAAATATAAAAAGATCCCAATAGATAAATATAAAATAGTATAGTGATAAAAATAAATATATGTGAGTAATACAATAAATCCTAAAGCTTAAATGTATCTATTGATCTCAAAATCAACATTAAGACCTTGTGGTGACATTGTATCAAGTTCAAAAATCCACTTCATCTCTGCCAATCCCAAAACATATTCTTTATTACCTCCTCTCCAATGTAATTTAATTTGATCAATACCTATAAACTCTATGCCCTTGGGGTCACCATTATGAGCCTGTAAAAAGTGATTGGAAACATTATGATTAACAAATTTACGTTGAATATTATAAATATGTTCCCTAATACGAATTTTCAGACTACGTGTAGTCTTACCAATATATTGGAACCCACATGGGCACGTAACCATATAGATCACATCTTTGCTAGAACATGTTAAAAAGGACTTAATCTGATATTCTTTTTTAGTCACACCTGATACAAATTGCGTGATTTTCTTATTTTTATTTAATCTTAAAGAACAACCTCTACATGTACCACAAAAATGGAATCCTTTACTTCCCTTTAGGAAATTTCCGTCATCCTCATTTTTATCTTTATCTAGAAAACTTCGAGTTAAAATTTGTTTGAAGTTATTAGCTCCTCTAAAAATAAATCTTGGTTTATCATTTAGAAAAGGGAGTACACCAGGATCTTCTTTAAGTACATTCCAATGTTTTTTAATAACTTTTTGTAATAAAAAATTATTCGTACTGAAATTAAAAATCAGAGGGATTTTTTCTCCATCCTCTTCACTTTTTTTAAAATTCTCTAAATTATCCTTAATTTTATATTTTAAAAGTCCTTGTCTCTTCTTATCTCCAATTTCCTTCTCAATTTTATCCAAATTTTCTTTTTTATATCCCTTTTCAATAAATTTTCCCTTTAAAATCTCTCCTTGTTTAAAAAATTCTTGTTCAGTGCAATTCCTTTTTAACCTTAAAAACTGGCCTTTAGGGATATTACTAAGCCAGGGTTTAAAATGACAACTTTTCAGGTCTATAAAACTATTAACGTCAACAGTTTTAAAAAAAAGTCTTACTCTTAATGGCACATTTGTCTATATAAATGAAGAGATCTAAAAAATTAATATGGTCATTACTTATATCATAGGATAAACTAATATTATAAAAATTCTGATTAAGAGACAAAATAAATTGTTCTAGGGAGTTCCTACTCCCTTTCCAAATAATAAAAATATCATCAATATAACGCTTATATAGGACCAGATTTGCCCCAATGTCCTCCTTAGAGAAGATATACTTTTCTTCCCAGAAGGACATAAAAAGATTAGCATAGCTTGGGGCAAATCTGGTCCCCATAGCTGTACCTAAAATCTGCAGATAAAATTCGTTTTCAAACCAGAAAAAATTATTTTTGAGGATAAAATCTATTGCTTTAATTAAAAATTCAATTTGTAACTTATCGATATCCTTTAATTTTTCTAGATAAAATTTAACGGCTTCACAGCCTTTTTCATGTTCTATAATCGTATATAAACTTTTAACGTCACACGTGGCCATGATATAATCTTCTTGCCATTCAAAATTATCTAGAATTAGTAAAAGGCTCATTGTGTCCTTAAGATATGCTGGGCATTCGATAACTTTTTTTTGTAAAAAATAGTCTATATATTGGGATAAAGGTGACAACAAAGAACCAATCCCCGAGACTATCGGTCTACCGGGCGGGTTAGTAGCGTTTAAAAGATTTGAGAGAAGATAAATCTGTAATTATCAAACCAGCGGATAAGGGCGGAGGAGTTGTGGTTTGGGATAAAAGAAAATATTTACAGGAGATTTATAAGCAACTTGATGACGATAAGACATATAAAAAATTAATGAATAACCCACTCCCCGAGATAAAATTAAATTTTAAGAAATTTTTAGATGAAGGGTTAGACTTGGGAATTTTAACTAAAAAAGAGTATGATTTTTTAGATGTCAAATATCCTAAAATACCGGTAATCTATGTCTTACCTAAAATTCATAAAGACGCTACTAACCCGCCCGGTAGACCGATAGTCTCGGGGATTGGTTCTTTGTTGTCACCTTTATCCCAATATATAGACTATTTTTTACAAAAAAAAGTTATCGAATGCCCAGCATATCTTAAGGACACAATGAGCCTTTTACTAATTCTAGATAATTTTGAATGGCAAGAAGATTATATCATGGCCACGTGTGACGTTAAAAGTTTATATACGATTATAGAACATGAAAAAGGCTGTGAAGCCGTTAAATTGTATCTAGAAAAATTAAAGGATATTGATGTAACGGATCGCCTGGCACCCCGACTGGGTACCTCCGTTAAAGGATGCTCCTAGCGCTTCCTGAGGACTCCAAGCACTGCAGCAGACACCACAACCACCGAACCGGAGAAGCATATGAATCCTCTCAAGCATATGAATGCTGTAGACAGTTGAATAGGAACCATACGAATAGGTTTACTCTCCTAGCAGTCAAACTGGAACAGCATACCATAAATCCTTCCCCCAATAATGAGACGACACTTCACTTTGAGGGTTAAAACAGGAACTCCCTGTACTGTCACATACAGTCTCTTTTATTCCCAATCCACAAACATAGTACAGCCCACAGGGTGTTACAAAACAACCAATCACATCACAGTTACATCCCACATATTCCCTCCCCTTATCCTGAGAGGAAACTCAATTATACATACAGTTAAAACATACTTTCTACCCAACTTTCATAACTCCAAAACCATACATCACATTCACATAAAATTACATATTCTCAATCAATCCATTCAGGGGAACAACATATTCAAAAATGGTACAAATCAGACAAGGGGTTCAAAAGTTAGTAAAAAGTCATTTGTGACTAAATGAAGCATGGCTTTCTGGCCCAAACCAGTTTCAGAGTCTTCTATCCTGGAGATAAGTAATTCAATTATCTCCCAGGACAGACACAAGACTCCATTACGCACATGGTTGCAAAAAGACACAAAACACTTTAAAATACATAAAGTAACCTTTTCACATAACACACAGACATTTCACATATCCCCAGATAGCTGCGATCTGAGCGCACAAAACTACTGAAGAGCGCTCAGATCCTATTCACACAGTTCAATTGCTATGGAGCCAAAGTCTTTAACTACACAAATGGGCTCCATGGCATAGCTATCTGGGTTAACACATTCTCATAAAGTCTGGTCCATAGTCCAAAGGCAAGAGGCGGGCAAGCAGCCCCCTCCAAGGACACGTGGCGAGGCCGGTTTCGCCACAATTGATAAGTTACAAATTGAATTTTTAATTAAAGCAATAGATTTTATCCTCAAAAATAATTTTTTCTGGTTTGAAAACGAATTTTATCTGCAGATTTTAGGTACAGCTATGGGGACCAGATTTGCCCCGAGCTATGCAAATCTTTTTATGTCCTTCTGGGAAGAAAAGTATATCTTCTCTAAGGAGGACATTGGGGCAAATCTGGTCCTATATAAGCGTTATATTGATGATATTTTTATTATTTGGAAAGGGAGTAGGAACTCCCTAGAACAATTTATTTTGTCTCTTAATCAGAATTTTTATAATATTAGTTTATCCTATGATATAAGTAATGACCATATTAATTTTTTAGATCTCTTCATTTATATAGATAAATGTGCCATTAAGAGTAAGACTTTTTTTAAAACTGTTGACGTTAATAGTTTTATAGACCTGAAAAGTTGTCATTTTAAACCCTGGCTTAGTAATATCCCTAAAGGCCAGTTTTTAAGGTTAAAAAGGAATTGCACTGAACAAGAATTTTTTAAACAAGGAGAGATTTTAAAGGGAAAATTTATTGAAAAGGGATATAAAAAAGAAAATTTGGATAAAATTGAGAAGGAAATTGGAGATAAGAAGAGACAAGGACTTTTAAAATATAAAATTAAGGATAATTTAGAGAATTTTAAAAAAAGTGAAGAGGATGGAGAAAAAATCCCTCTGATTTTTAATTTCAGTACGAATAATTTTTTATTACAAAAAGTTATTAAAAAACATTGGAATGTACTTAAAGAAGATCCTGGTGTACTCCCTTTTCTAAATGATAAACCAAGATTTATTTTTAGAGGAGCTAATAACTTCAAACAAATTTTAACTCGAAGTTTTCTAGATAAAGATAAAAATGAGGATGACGGAAATTTCCTAAAGGGAAGTAAAGGATTCCATTTTTGTGGTACATGTAGAGGTTGTTCTTTAAGATTAAATAAAAATAAGAAAGTCACGCAATTTGTATCAGGTGTGACTAAAAAAGAATATCAGATTAAGTCCTTTTTAACATGTTCTAGCAAAGATGTGATCTATATGGTTACGTGCCCATGTGGGTTCCAATATATTGGTAAGACTACACGTAGTCTGAAAATTCGTATTAGGGAACATATTTATAATATTCAACGTAAATTTGTTAATCATAATGTTTCCAATCACTTTTTACAGGCTCATAATGGTGACCCCAAGGGCATAGAGTTTATAGGTATTGATCAAATTAAATTACATTGGAGAGGAGGTAATAAAGAATATGTTTTGGGATTGGCAGAGATGAAGTGGATTTTTGAACTTGATACAATGTCACCACAAGGTCTTAATGTTGATTTTGAGATCAATAGATACATTTAAGCTTTAGGATTTATTGTATTACTCACATATATTTATTTTTATCACTATACTATTTTATATTTATCTATTGGGATCTTTTTATATTCTTATACTTTTATATTATTTATTTAATTTTGATTCCCTATTATTCAGATTTCCAGTTTTGCTTTTATTATTTATATATTATCTTTATCTGTTTTTAAATGATTGTATTATCTATATTTTTCTCTCTAATAAGAATGTTGCAATTTTACTGCTTTGGACGTTTAAAAGTTAGGAGCAATATA